TAATTATTTTTTAAAAATAGAAGTAGCAGACGTTACTCCTTATGACTTGAGCTATCTACCAGTGAAAGTCCCGTCAAAATCGGTCCAGCTGTTTCGGTGATTAGCCGAAACAAACAGATAGACAGATAAAAATTTTAAATGGTTATTTTCTGATTAGTGGCGTATAATATACTTTCATATGCATTTAGTAAAAAGCTGTTATTTTGACATTACAAACATACACTTCATTTTTATTTACATTTTTACATTAATGACTTACCGGAAGTAGGAAAACATAAAAGTATTTTATGTGCAAATGACATCACTATAATTGTGACAACTAATAAAAAAATGACTTTAAGAGATTATGAAATGGGTATAAATTATGTAATGATTTTAATAATTTAATTGCTTCTCAATAACACTTCCCACATAAAAGTAAATATGTGAATGTAATTATTAAAATTTTAGTATAAAAATATAAAAATATTTTGTTAAATATAAACCATGATCAATAGACTCTTGAAGATTTTAAATTTGTAACGTTCCTTGGTTTATTAATTGACAAAAATTTTAAATGGAAGGAAAAAATACAATTAGTTTGCAAAAAAAAAATCAATAGATTTATTTATGCGCTATATAAACTGACGAAAATAGCATTGAAATAAATGACAATCACGGAATATAGCTTTTGCCCGCGATTTCGTCCGCGTGTATCTGCGCGTAACATACTTTAAATTAATTATTCTTTACAGTTTTTGCTCCGCACGCCAAAATAGCCCGCAGATGACAGATTTTTCCGACTTACTTAACACTTATCTTTTTTTTTTTATAGGATCGGGTGACAAACGAGCACACAGTCCACCTGATGGTAAGTGGTTAATGTGACCCATAGACATCTACATCTATCCTCAATAAAGACTCAAGATGCAGACGCGTTGTCATACGTGAGGACTAAGATGGAATGCCTCTTTGCTAGTAAAAAGGGTCTCCGGTTCTCTACACTCACCATACGAAACACAGCAGCGTAAGCTGCTATTTTACGCTGGTTTTCTGTGAGAGCGTGGTCCTTCCCCGTTCGAGCCGACCTATTCGTGCTACAACCATAATATAGCTGCAGCATGGCTCTACCACGTAGAAAATCTTCGATTACGAATCAAAATGCAGATGCGTTTTCATCCGTGAGGATTAAGATGGAATGCCTCGTTTCCAGTAAAAAGGGTCTCCGGTTCTGTTATTTCACGCTGGTATTCTGTGAGAGCATTGTTGAGCCGACCCATTCATGCTACAAGCCATTCATTGCTGTTGCAGTCAAGCATTGCTCTACCACGTTAAGTAGATAATGCTTATGGTGATTTAAGTATAATGAATGGTGGTGTAAGAATATCCACTAACCCATATCATTCCGTGGGAGTCGTAAGAGACAATAGAGGAAAACTGAAACAGGAGATGGTCTACGTGGTAAAGCCATGTTGCAGCTATATTACTCGGTTCACGTTTAACAGATCATGCGCAGAGATCTGTTTATGAATTTGCCTTGGTATTTGGTCTAACACAACTGGTTACTTCGTCTACGCGGATTTTCAAGATGTGAAGGATCATGCACCATCCCTGTTGGACCTTCTCCTGACCTCTCAAACGGACGGATATAAGGTTTCCGCCGACGCCCCTATCGGCTCTTCGGACCATTGTATCATCCGCAGTGTGGTGCCACTCACGCTCTCTTCGCAGTTGCGTTCTGCACGCTGCCGCCGTGTCTGGCATTACAGGTCAGTGGATTAGGACGGAATGCGGTCTTTCTTTGTATCCTACCCATGGGGATAGGATGCAAAGAAAGACCGCATTCGGGGCAGACTGGGTTTGCTTCTCGCCAGATGATCCCAGCGCTGTTGCTGATTCTGTCACTGATGTGGTGCTTCAGGAAATGGAACTATTTATTTCATCATCCGTGATACCCTTCGGAGGCAGTTTCTAATTTGTTTTGTGTTGTTATTGTGTAAAATTTTACTTAAAAAAAGTCCCGCTTGGTATCTTGCTGGTTCTTCCCAGGAGAGAGGTTTTTTTCCGAACTAGGGGTAATTAAACAAAAGAGTGATTTTCAATAAGTATTATTTATTATCTATATTAAATAAAAATGTTTTTGTTTTTGCTGTCCAAGGAAATTTCTATAAGCCATCACTTCCACCTCTGAGAGGACGACTCACTGACCACGCCGCGAAAGAGAAAACATACCTTTTAGGCTCCCTTTTGCGTCCAACTCGACTCTCAAAGACGGGGGCAACACAGCGTCGACCATCCTGCGTTGTGAGTGTGAGAATCCTCCCAATTGTGCTGAGGGTGTGTGGTCCAGAGTCGGCACCGGTTCTAACACGTCTTTTCCGGTACTACTCTTAGTCCTACTCCCTAGGTGTAGTCCTAAATTCATTAATTATGCAATTCTCCTAGTATTGCAGTTGTTCACGGGCGGCGGTAGTCACTTACCATCAGGTGAGCCGCATTTGCCCCCTCTCCTATGAAAAAAATGTAAGACAGCTTTCATGCACCCGATTACTAAAAAAGGTAACCGCTCTGATCCATCCAACAACAATCCTATCACCATTACTTCCTTCTTCTCGAAAATAATGGAATCCATTATTAATAATGTTGCCTCTCTTTGCGTAATCTATCGCACCTACCACGGGGAGTGCTCAGAGGAATTGTTCGGACTAATTCCAGCCGCTCCATTTCACCATCGCACATCGCGACAAAACTTGAGATACCATCCATACCATCTCGATGATTGGCGGCCCACCACTGTGCGATTTACAAGAAATTTTCATCCTCGCAAAACTTCCTTGTGGAATCGACTACCACCTGCGATTTTTCCGGACCGATACGATACTTAGGGACATTCAGAAAAGAGCCTACTCATTCCTAAAAGTCCGGCAACTTATTTGCAATTCCTCTGGTGTTGTAGTTGTTCATGGGCGGCGGTAGTCACTAGGTGAGCCGCATGCTCGTTTGCCCCTCTCATATAAAAAAATATTACCTCTGAAATTAAACAAAGTTCATTGTGAATTTTATTCTTATTTTATTGCCATGTTTCGTACTTTGTTCATGTTACAGTATGATAATTCAAGGAGCTATATATTTTTTAATATAAATTTTTATTATATACAATATTAATAACTATAATAATAAAAAAAAACTAAAACTAGAAACTTAATTATCATATAGTCCTACTCCCCGCGGTATCGTGCCAAGAACACTGGCTGCGTTTCCCCGCTGAATAGCTATACTTAGCCTTTGAGCGAGAAAAGAACCAGCCCTCTTATTACCAGTAGCAACGACCAGCCTCGGATGGAGTTACTTTAGGAAATTCACCGCACGTGGACCCCACGGACCCATAGTCTCCACAGCAAATGGCTCAAATATATAGTCATCTCTCAGAGACTCATATTCGCGCCACTCACTCAGTTCAGCTGCCTCTGATGCCGCCCCGGTTTTAAACGAGGTACCCCTGAGATGAGAGGCCGCCAGAGTGTCTACGCAAGTAGCATCCCACACTAGGGCTTTATCTCTCTCCCAAGGGACCAATGTCATACCGTCGGGTCTCCTGCCATCGTCTCTAAATATTCCACAAGGCTCTAAAATCGAGGGAACATTTATAGAGTGAAAAAAGTGGTAGAGCCAGGCGGCAGCTTTTGCTGTCGCACGGATGGGCCGGCTCGAACCGGGGTGGTACCACGACCTCACAGAATACCAGCGTGAAGTAGAGGTTTACCTCTGCGTTTCGCTTGGTGAGTGCAGGTGGCCGGAGGCCCTTTTTACTGGAAATGAGGCATTCCATCCTAGTCCTCACGGGTGACAACGCATCTATATTTTGATTCGCAAACGAGGATAAATGTAGATGTCTATGGGCCACAGCAACCACTTACCATCAGGTGGACTGTGTGCTCGTTTGTCACCCTATCCTATAAAAAAAAAAAAAAAAAAAAAAAATAGAGACAAGAGCCCTTCGGATGACATCTTTCAAAGAACTGTGTCGTGGAAACCTACCAGCGCTTTTCTTAACATGAAAGTCCGTGGAGCCCAAACTTGTCGACGCTGCTACCACAGGGACACTCATGGGGTTGACGAAGCGCCGCTCCTAGTCGGATTCCTACGGCGATGCGCAAGCTTTCCCCATCAAGTAATGTGCCAAGATTACTTGAAGGTAAAGCGTGTAACCAGTGACTAGATTCCTTAGTCGAAACAGCTGGAAGGCGTGCCTTATCTTGGTCACTATGGAAGCTATATTGCTTTCAGTCACGAAGATTGAGCCACTCACATGGTTGCTAATTGAGTTATTGGCGGACCGTGGGTTCAAATCCCGCACGGAACAAGTAATTGTATGATTTACAAATAATTGTTCCGGGCCTGGATGTTTTGAAATTTATGTTTGTAAGCTGCCTCCACGATATAGGAGAAAATCCTAGAGTACGGGTAACGTCTTATAAAATAAATGAAAATGAAAAATATCTAGAATTATAACACAACCAAATGCTTTTCTTATTCTAGCTCAGGTATAAATCAATTGTGAGATATTGGGAAACATCTGATGATATGGTTAGGACCTTTAGGATATCTGGTATCTGGCTAAACAGAGTTTCTAGCTGGGGTCATTCTGAAGCTCAAAAGGACCTTCAGGAGGTGATTTTAAAATCTAAATTCTGAGAAGTTATTGCTTAGTAGAATTTATGAAGAAGCTTTACGCAAATCGACATGATAGAGTACAGTTTTATTATGGTTGCAGCATAAATGGGTTGGTTTTACTTTTAAATAGCAGCTTAATGCTGTGTTTCTTGTGGTGAATGTAGAGAACCGGAGACCCTTTTTACCGGAAACGTGGTATTCTATCTAATTCTTTAGGGGCGACAATGTTGTCTAGTCACAGCATCCTCTTACCTTTGCTTGCTCGATTGCCACCTTCATTTTATGAATAAAATCGATAGTAATTAGCCTCTAGATGAAGCCTTAAGCATCGACTACCAAGCCTTATCGGATTCGACTTCTTAGTCTATTTCCTCTGAGATGTTAATCAACTCGCTCGAATTAAACAGAATGCGTCATGTAGAGTCATTCGTTTTTGCGGAATTCTCAAAAAAGTGCGTCCTTCGCTATAACTGACCAATCTTTATAAGTTCCGTTTTAATATGTTATTACGAAGGGCAAGTTGTTTCATTTTTAAAAGATATCCGTTGTGATATATTATTCTCGGAAGCTGCCTTCATGAACAGTAGAGACGCGTATTTTGCAATCAACGGACGTGCGCGCCATCATAAGTTATAAACGTATACGTTCCAATTGTCAAAATATCATAGTTAAGTAATAACGCAGTGGATACAATTTTTTTGCTTGTTTTTATTGGTAAGTGTTTTGGTTTATCTAACTGTTATCAAATTTCTTTCATAAACTTCAGTCGTATTATTTATCTTTTCTTTTTTTATAGTATTTTTAATACACAGTAAATATCTTTAATAAATAATAATCATGGTGTTTATTTTTTTTTGTAAAAATAAGCTTTAATAATATAAAATTGCTAAATATTATTTAAAAATATATTTAGCATACATCAGACACTAAAAATTATCGTCTGACAAGACAAGAAAACTAAAAAAAAGTAAAATTAATTATTATATTATCTATCTATATTTAAAAAAGAGTGACTGGCTTAATGATTTCTTATATTTACGCGAAGACTACACATTAAATGAAACTAATTTTTGCGTATTTTATCGCGTTTAATTTAACTTTTTAATTCCCGACGTTTCGGGTGCTTTAACCACCCATAGTCACGGGGGGAGGAGGCGACTGAGGTGCTTGACGTCCCGATGTCATAGTTCGCCCGGCTACCTTCAGATTTTGAATATAAATTTTCTTGCAGTGGTGGGCTTGGGTTTGGATTTAATTTGATTAATTATAGGTCCCCAAGCAGATGGGAGCACCCATCCTTCTTCTCTACTGAAATTTTGATGTTTTTTAATTGCAATAGCCTCGCGAATCATCCTTGGTAGGTATCGGTGTTCTTTTGCGAGGATTTCTGGTCTATGAAACCTAATATAATGGCGGGGACGATCTTGAACATGTTCACAAACTGCAGACTTCCCGGAACGTCGGTGCTTCAAGCATCGCTTGATACGTCGGGAATTAAAAAGTTAAATTAAACGTGATAAAATCCGTAAAAAATTTGTTTCATTTAGTGACTGGCTTGTTGCTTGTAAATATGAAATACTGTACTGTACTGTGTACTGTACAGAGTAGCTGCCTTTTATGACGTAGGCATCCACTAAGAAAAAATTTACAAAATTAAACCCATAAGAGAGTGAAATAGGGTATTACAGTTTGTATGAGTATTTTTAATTTACGGTACGATTGACTTGAATCTTACTGGAAATACTCTGTATATAAAATAAGTGAACACAAATGTTACGATTTTGTTTACTTGAAAATTGGTGCTATTTGAACCAGTTTTCAATGAAAACAAGCGTAAATATTTTTTACATCTTGAATTATAATAATTAAATTTCGATATTTTTTTGTTTCAAACATGTAGCCTAAGGTTTTAAAGTGATGGTGCGAAGTTTTACGTACTTTGTATCAAAAATGTTTCCACTAAAGGATTTTGAAAAATTCTAAAAATTTTTGGAAAACTCTCTGTTGACAACAAATGGTAAGGAGAAATGTGTACATCATTTATAAAATAAAGTTAAAAAATATAAAAATAAAAATGAAAATATAAGATGATGACAGTTTAAGAAAGTAGGATACGAGTAGATACAAGATAGGGCGAGAAGTATGATGGAAAATATCAGAGTTCCAAGTAACAAGTTTTGAGTAGATTTGTGAAGGAAAAATTGATTGAGCACGGCGTATTTTGTAGAAGCAATTGGCTTAACAATCGTACAGCTGAAACAGTTCTTGATTTATTGATGAAGTAGGATGAATGTACTGGAGGACGAAGAGTGCTTGTTAGATTATATAACCTCTCTAACAAGCACTCTTCGTCGTATAATATATATATATATATATATATATATATATATATATATATATATATATATATATATATATATATATATTAATACGTGAAGGGAAACTTTGTACCCCTTTTTATGCGTATTGAGCTAAGGGAGGAGTGTAAGATTTGATAAGAAAGTTAATATTTATGTTAATCATTGAGTGATGATTTATGGATCTCGATAACAGCGCCACCTACCTGGTCCAATTGTATATCTAAACCATCCAGGGATCCACTCAAACACATACATACATTTTTTTCAAAATCAGTCCAGCTATTTTCGAGTTTTAGCGAGACTAACGGACAGCAATTGATTTTTATATATAGAGATACTGTACGTCATAAATACATTAAACTAAATTAAATAATTATAATCCAAAATGGCAACCATATTTAACACGTTTGCAGTCCTGAGTTTAAAGTTTTTAATCACTAACTTATCGAGAAGTTAGCTTAAAAATCGGTTGCTCAATTTGTATTGAACAAAATGTTTATAGTGAACAAACAAACAGGAGATAAAACAAGAAAGTGAGTTTATATTGATTCTTTTTATAGGATAGGGTGACAAACGAGCACACAGTCCACCTGATGGTAAGTGGTTGCTGTGACCCATAGACATCTACATTTATCACCAATAAAGGATCAAAATGCAAATGCGTCGTCACCCGTGAGGACTAAGATGGAATGCCTCTTTTCCAGTAAAATGGGTCTCCGGTTCTCTACACTCACCATACGAAACACAGCAGTCAAGCTGCCATTTTACACTGTTAAATATATTCTGTGAGAGCGTGGTCCTTCCCCGGTCGAGCCGACCCATTCGTGCTACAACTATACTACTAATATAGCTGTAGCATGGCTCTATCACGTAAAAATGATTTTGAGCTATGTTCAAAACTTCAACTCTCTTGCCCATATAATAATCTCATAAATATCGCTGATATATAATAATTATTGTGTTTGATTTAATGTGAAAATATTTTTATTAAATTATTATCAGTAGTAAAATAATTTATTGTTGACATTAGACAAGACAATAAAACCGTAATTAAAATTAATGATCACGTTATAGCCACGATGGCACGATCAGAATATGCCATTGAGTTATATGTACTACCCCCCAATGATATATGTACTACGTACTAGAGAAGCCATTCCAAACAAAAATTGTGTCCTACTCTATGTATTCGCGCATGCGCGGGAGTAGTAGTCGCGCATGCGCGAAGACTTTAATTTGATATAAAATAAGATATTAATACAAAATTAATATAAGGATTTAATATAAAATATCTTAATTTAATCTAAACAAACATATTTCTAAATAAAATGTTATGTATAATAATTATTTTACGGAATTCACAAATCTTCAATTTACGCAAATTTTAGTTTGTACGGATTGCACTACAGTTCAGTTGAACATAGTCAATGTTCGGCCCAATAATCTGAACGCACTCGGATCCGTGGTGACTCGGTAGCTCGGATAAGAGTAGTAAAACAAAATGGTGACTGCAATAAGAAAGCGATCTGAGCATGATACTAATCGATTTGTTGAGTGAAGCTAAAGAGGTTTTATCATAAAAATAAAGACGTTTTAAAAACGGATTTGCAGCGTAATGTTGCACGTGCAGATTCAAATTTTATTTCAGTATTACTACGTTAATGAGATAAGACACTATCTGTGTACATTCTTATAAAGCTGACTTGGCTACTTGGACTGAGCCTACTCAGGTTATGTAGTAATAATATATATTCTTTGCTCTGGTTGATCCAGTCGTGTCAACGCGACTTATGAGTTAATTTATTTAATCTATATGAGCTAATTTGTCACTAGCGACCCGCCCCAGTTCCGCCTGGGTAGAATCTACTTATCGTTTTTTTTAATCTCTAATATTTTCGGATAAAATATAGCCCAGATCACTGGGCTATCTATCTGTTCGTTAAGTTTCATTAAAATCGGTCAGTAATTCCGAAGATTAGCCCAGACAGAAAGACAAATTTAAAACATGATTATTTACGCCTCATTAGGCATGCCATTGCATGTAAATAACACCCTTAACTCAATATAAGGTAGTTGTTTCGATATAGCACACAGAAACTTGCATTTTATTTATATGTGTGTATAGATTAATAAATCTTAATAACGTCAAACAAGAACTGTACGTGTTGTTTTTAAGGTTATCCATTCATTGCCATTTATTCCGCATCCGATTTAAGAATGCTGACAAATAAAAATTGTCTAATAAGTTAACGCCTACAGATAGTATTACGAGTAGTTCGATAATATAACACATTATATGGCCATGTGTTGCCGGCCTAACAGGACCCACTTTCATGTCATGAGTACCGCTACAAGAATCTTATAGAAACCGATTAATGGCGGTTTAGCAATCTCGTTTACGTCACAAATAAAATACCCGGACCGGCGACGGTCAGCAGCGTCGCAGGTACGATACGTACGACATTCAATCTGGCTACCAAAATCTTCCCTACTACGAGAGCGGCATATGGCCTGCAGTGAAATTTTACGGTCTGAAGTAGAATAAAATGTATTACATCCCACCGCAACACGGGTTCTCAGGACCGATTGTATTTTCCCCTCTAAAAATCCGACAATGTTACTGCAATTCCCGTGGTTTGTAGATGTGAATGAGCAACGGTGATCACTTATCATCAGATGAGTCTTATGCTTGTTTGACTCTTCTTCCATAAAAAAAAACAACGCATCACATGCGTAAGTACTGCAAAGCATTCGACATGTTGGGAATTTAAATTAATTAAATAGAACGTTTTAAAATATGTTTTAGATAGATTTAATCTAAATACTATAATCTATATACTTTAATCTATATAGTAATTAAATAATAATAACTCTATTTTATCGACCTCGAAAAGTAACCTCAAGAGGACAGCCTGTTTACTTTGAATTTGAAAAATAGTCGCAGATGTAAATTTGCGGAAGGTCATTTAATAAAAGCGGATCAAATTATCTCGTCCTCTAATCGTCAGGTTTGGTTGTTACAAGTCGAAAAATTCCACATGTTATGTATGTATGTATACATGTACATAAGTATACATCGATAACTTAATAAATTTGACCGGTTGTTTTTACATAACTAATGCAAGTTTGTCGTTGTTTTTTAAATGAAATAAATCGAAAACGGATTTTCTTGAGTTTAATTTAATTATTCCTAATTCTTAAGTTTTCGAATGCATTGCAGTACCTGTATTGTGCAACTGCTGTATTGTAGTGGGATAAAATACATTTTATTCTTATTATTAGCCTGTAAAAGTCCTTTACTGATACCTCCCTTCTCTACCTGCCTCTCCCGTATGAAGAATTTGCCATAATTGT